AATGCCTCTAATGATGAAGTGTTGGCACCCCTTAGGGGTGCAAAATGAGGGTCCAGGTGGTGTGCTGAAGAGGCCTATACAAGGTCTGTTTTCCCCCAAATGTCTCCAACTCCTCAACAAATTACTTTTTACTTCTGTTTTTGTTTCATGATCATACCTCTTCCATTTCTAGTTACATAGCTGCCTTATCTGCCACATAAGCCATATATCTGTTTTTGTACAGATTATTTGAAGATTTCCTCTGAGCCTTTCATCTTCAACAACCTCAAATTCCTAGAATCTTTCCTAAATTTGACTTCTAGTTATTCAGTCTTCTTCCCCTTTTAAACCCTTGATGACTTGTTCTCTCTGTCATCTGTCAGTCAGAATATATTTTCTTTTGTTGCTTTAACGAGGAAGAAGATATTTCAGTTTTATGCTCCTTGATGCTTCACATACTTTGCTTTTATGGAAAGCCTTATACTTGTATCCCTTTTATGCCTAAACTTGGGCTAAGTAAGAAGGTAACCATCAGGTAACCATCATTCTCCTCTTGATTATTTTCTGTGCCTAAACTTGGGCTGAGTAAGAAGGTAACCATCAGGTAACCATCATTCTCCTCTTGATTATTTTCTGTGCCTAAACTTGGGCTAAGTAAGAAGGTAACCATCAGGTAACCATCATTCTCCTCTTGATTATTTTCTGTGCCTAAACTTGGGCTAAGTAAGAAGGTAACCATCATTCTCCTCTTGATTATTTTCTGTGCCTAAACTTGGGCTAAGTAAGAAGGTAACCATCAGGTAACCATCATTCTCCTTTTGATTATTTTTCTTGTTTGATCCTGATTTTCATTCAAAAGAAACTTATTCTATGTCTGTTTAGTGTTATTTACTATTACAGTAATTGGCAAGCTCATCCTTGGATCCACTTAGGTCTTTTTGGTTCTCCTGGGTGCCAACTGATTAGGCCAGTGTCGTCACTAGGCTAGCCGTTTTAGTTATTATTGGCTGTCTTGTTTGATAATCTATCACTGCAGGTACAGCAAAGGAAAAATACCTTCTAAAGTTTGAGTACTAACAAATCCTAAGAAAATTTCCAAATCCATGTTTGTGAAGCAAGTGTATAGCTGTTTTCTTTTCCCACCTTTTTATGATCTTTCAACGTGTACTTAGGAACTACTAATTGAAGTGCAACTTTGTAAGTAGCTACAGTCAAAGATTAATAACCATTGGATAGAGTAGGCCATCTACTATTTATATCAGTATAGATATAAATAGTAAATGGTGTGAGAAGTAAACTGTGGTTTCATGAGAAAGAGACAAGATCTATCATGGGCAGGGAAGAACAACGATTTATAATGGGAAGTTTAGATGACTGAGGAACAAAATGTGATTATAGAAATTTTTTTTTTTAGTTTCTTTATATGTTTTTTTTTCATTCCTGAAAATGTTTTTATGTTAAATTTTATTTTTTTCAAAGCTGTGGAAGTTTTTTTACTATGATAAGACATAGCAAGCAGCAAGGAAGCTGTCGCGCTGATGTCGCTGGACTCGCCCAGAGGACTTGTCCCGAATGCTT